TGGCCTTGTAGGTGAGGATGAGGATCTTGAATTGATCCTCTGGGGATGGGGAGCAGTGGAGGCGAGCGAGGGCGAGGGTGAGGGCGAGGGTGAGGGCGAGGGTGGGAGTGATGTGGTCGCGGTGTCTGGTGCGGGACAGTACACGAGCTGCAGAGTTCTGAATGACCTGCAGTGTGGAGGGAGGGCCGGGAAGGCCGACGAGGAGAGAGTTCCCATAGTCCAGCCTTGAGGTGATAAAGGTGTGGACCAGAGTTTCAGCCGCGTGAGGGGTGAGGTAGTGCCGTAGTCTGGCGATTCCGGAGGTGATGGAAGGCGGTGCCAGTTGTGGTGCGGATATGAGGGAGAAAGGACAGCTCAGGGTCGAGAACCCGAGGTTCCTGATGGCTTTGAGAGGTGGAGAGTGCGGACTTGGATGCTGATGCTGTCAGCGCCTGAGGTGCGGAGGCGCTGACGTGAGCCAATCAGGAGGGCCTCAGTTTTGCGCACGTTGAGCTGAAGAAAGTTGTCTCTCGTCCAGGACTCGATGTCGGACAGACAGCTGTCAGGACATCGGGGGTTGAGGGTAGAGGAGGAAAGGTAGAGTTGGGTGTCATCCGCATACATGTGGGAGTTAACCCCATGTCTGCGGATGATGTCACCACAGGGGGAGCATATAGAGGGTGAAGAGGAGGGGACCGAGGACAGAGCCCTGAGGGACACCGCACGAGACAGTGCGGGGGGTGGAGGAAAAGCCATTTGTGGAGACAAAGTGAAGATGGTGGGAGAGGTACGACCTAAACCACTCAAGGACAGGCCTTGAAGGTTGAGGTGGGAGGACAAGCGGTGGAGGAGGATAGTGTGGTCGACCGTATCGAATGCTGCCGATAGGTCGAGGAGGACGAGGAGGCAGAGGGAGCCCTGGTCACAGATGGTCAGGATGTCATTGGTGACCTTGACCAGGGCAGTTTCTGTGCTATGGGCAGCATGAAACCCGACTGAAGGGGTTCGAATAATGAATGGGTGGAGAGGAAAGAGCGCAGCTGGGAGGGACAACTCTCCAGGACCTTGGACAGGAAGGGGAGGTTGGAGATGGGCCGGAGATTGATAGCTGCGACGCATCAAAGGAGGGTTTTTTCAAGGTGGGAGTGACGATGGCAGTTTTTAAGAGAATGGGAACAGAGCCACAGGAGAGGGACAGGTTGACGATGGCTGTGATGTAAAGAGCATTCCTCTGCAGCAAAATGTATCATTGTATTTTTTATTTTATTTACAAAAAAGCTATATTCACCACAAGAGAGAGAGAGAGAAATCAGTTTACATTAAATGTACAATGTGTGGGGGAGTGAGTGCCGTTTGCGATATGTTGATGTATTGTTGAGTAAACCACAGTTTGCTGTTCGAGTTGTCAAAACAAAAGGGGGTTTAATCCCTTCAAAAACATAATAATAATAATTTGGTCACTCAACCCACGGCTGTTTGTGGGGACGCTGCTGTGTGCAATCGGCTGCCTGCGTTTCGCCCACAAAATTCACAGTCACTACACTTTACAATATATTCTGTGAAGTGCTTTGAGACGCCTCAAATTCTTAATATGAAATGGCATTTAAAAACCAATCGACCACTGGGCCCCCACCCCCACCCCCCACCCCGGTTAGTTTGCTGTCGGTGACTGTGTCGGTGATGTGGGGTAAAAACGGTGAAAATCTTCATCATCGTCGTCATCATCAGAATCCTGGTGAGAAACACACACATGGGAGTCAGAGGTGAGGACACAGCAGCACAGAGAGAGGGGGGGAGAGAGGGAGGGGGGACACAGGAGGAGGGGAGAGAGAGAGAGGGGGGAGAGGGAAGTAGAGGGGGAGAGAGAGAGAGAGAGGAAGGGGGGGAGAGAGGGAGGGAGAGAGAGAGGGGAAACGAGGGAGAGTGGGAGAGAGAGAGAGAGAGGGGAAGAGAGGGAGAGGAGGAGTGAGAGGGGGGGAGAGACGGGGGAGAGTGGGGGAGAGGGAGAGGGGAAGAGGGTGAGAGAGAGGGGGAGGGAGAGAGGGAGGGAGAATGGGAAGGAAAGAGGGGGAGAGTGGGAGGGAAAGAGAGGGAGAGGGGGGAGGAGTGAGAGGGGGGGAGGGGATTTGAGTGGTGAGCTTCTGCGGTCACGGGGGGGGGGGGGGGCTCACACTGGTGCTCCAGCACAGTGCTGGGGGTGGGGGGAGGGAGAGAGACATTGGCTTCAGACGAGACGTTAAACCCCATTCACTCCCCGGACAGACGTTAAGATTCCCGCAACACTGTTGAGAATGAGAGGAGTTTCTCTGTCTGTCTGAGCCCCCGGGACCCCCAGGAACCCCGGGACCCCCAGGAACCCCGGGACCCCCAGGAACACCGGGACCCCCAGGAACCCGGGACCCCCAGGAACGCCGGGACCCCCAGGAACCCGGGACCCCCAGGAACCCGGGACCCCCAGGAACCCGGGACCCCCAGGAACCCGGGACCCCCAGGAACGCCGGGACCCCCAGGAACCCGGGACCCCCCAGGACCCCCAGGAACCCCGGGACCCCCAGGAACCCCGGGACCCCCAGGAACACCGGACCCCAGGAACCCGGACCCCAGGAACGCCGGACCCCAGGAACGCGGGACCCCCAGGAACCCGGGACCCCCAGGAACCCGGGACCCCCAGGAACCCGGGACCCCCAGGAACCCGGGACCCCCAGGAACCCGGGACCCCCAGGAACGCCGGGACCCCCAGGAACCCGGGACCCCCAGGAACCCGGGACCCCCAGGAACCCGGGACCCCCAGGAACCCGGACCCCCAGAACCCGGGACCCCAGGAACCCGGGACCCCAGGAACGCCGGGACCCCCAGGAACCCGGGACCCCCAGGAACCCGGGACCCCCAGGACCACTGCTCCTACCTGCAGACAGGCCGCACATTTCACATACAGCCTCTCGCCCCGTCCCCCACCTCCATCACCGTCTCCGTCTCCGATCACCGTCCTGAACACAACAGCACGCGGCAAAGTCTGGCAAATGGGCAATAACACTCCCCCCCCACACACACTCCCCCCCCCACACACTCCCCCCCCCCCACACACTCCCCCCACACACTCCCCCCCCCCCCACACACACTCCCCCCACACACTCCCCACCGCCCCCACACAACACTCCCCCCCCACACACACTCCCCCTCCCCCACACACTCCCCCCCCCCCACACACACTCCCCCCCCACACACACTCCCCCCCCCCCCCCCAGTACTCACCCTCAGTGACCCGGGTGTCCAGCCCCTTGTCGGGGGGATCACAGCTGATGAGCCCTGAGACCCCCATCCACAGCAGCAGCGCCACCACCACAACCAGAGACGGCAACAACACCAACAGCGACATCAACACCTCCACCTTCATCCTGAACCGCTCAGCTGGGGGGGGGGGGGGGGGAGTGAGAGAGAGAGAGAGAGTGAGGGAGAGAGAGAGGGGAGAGAGAGTGAGGGAGAGAGAGAGAGTGAGAGGGGAGAGAGAGTGAGGGAGAGAGAGAGAGAGAGTGAGGGAGGGAGGGAGAGAGAGCGAGAGAGAGTGAGTGAGGGAGGGAGGGAGGGAGGGAGGGAGAGCGAGAGAGAGTGAGGGAGAGAGTGAGGGAGGGAGAGAGAGTGAGGGAGAGAGAGAGAGCGACAGTGGGATCGAGGGAGTGAGAGTGAGGGAGAGAGCGCGAGAGTGAGGGAGAGAGCGCGAGAGTGAGGGAGAGAGCGCGAGAGTGAGGGAGAGTGAACGAGGGAGAGAGAGTGAGAGAGAGTGAGGGAGAGAGAGAGAGAGGGAGAGAGGGAGAGAGAGTGAGAGAGAGTGAGGGAGAGAGAGAGAGAGGGAGAGAGAGTGAGGGAGAGTGAGTGAGAGTGAGAGAGAGAGAGAGAGAGAGTGAGGGAGAGGGAGTGAGGGAGAGCGCGAGAGTGAGGGAGAGAGAGTGAGAGAGAGAGAGGGAGAGAAAGTGTACGAGAGAGTGTGTGTGAGAGAGCGAGAGGGAAGGGGATGATAGGGAGAGCCGTGGGGGTGGGGGTGGGGGTGGGGGTGTCTCTCACCTCTCACAGTGACGGTGAGCACGAGTCACAAGCTGTGACTATCTGAGATGTTTTGATGTGTGATGTACTGGGTTTACCTCAAATATCCCAAACCTGCTCAACAAAAATGGCTCAGAAATGTGGTGTGTGTTTGTGTGGGATGTCCTACTGACCTGAAAGGCGTTATATAAATGTAATTTTTTGTTGTTAGGTGTCTGTGTGTCAGTGTGTGCGGGTGCATTTACAAGGGCGGGTGTGTGTGAGAGAGGACGTGTGTGAGGGCGGGTGCGAGTGTGTGTGTAGGTGCGAATGTGTGTGTACGTAGGTGCGAGTGTGTGTGTAGGTGCGCGGGTGTGTGTAGGTGCACGGGTGTGTGTGTAGGTGCGAGTGTGTGTGTAGGTGCGCGGGTGTGTGTATAGGTGTGCGGGTATGTGTGTGTGTGTAGGTGCGCGGGTGTGTGTAGGTGCGCGGGTGTATGTAAAGGTGTGTGGGTATGTGTGTGTGTGTGTAGGTGCGAGTGTGTGTGTAGGTGCGCGGGTGTGTGTATAGGTGCGCGGGTATGTGTGTGTGTGTAGGTGCGAGTAGGTGCGCGGGTGTGTGTATAGGTGCGCGGGTATGTGTGTGTGTGTAGGTGCGAGTGTGTGTGTAGGTGCGCGGGTGTGTGTATAGGTGTGCGGGTATGTGTGTGTGTGTAGGTGCGCGGGTGTGTGTATAGGTGCGCGGGTGTGTGTATAGGTGTGCGGGTATGTGTGTGTGTAGGTGCGCGGGTGTGTGTGTAGGTGCGCGGGTGTGTGTGTAGGTGTGCGGGTATGTGTGTGTGTGTAGGTGCGCGGGTGTGTGTATAGGTGTGCGGGTATGTGTGTGTGTGTAGGTGCGCGGGTGTGTGTGTAGGTGCGCGGGTGTGTGTAGGTGTGCGGGTATGTGTGTGTGTGTAGGTGCGCGGGTGTGTGTGTAGGTGCGCGGGTGTGTGTGTAGGTGTGCGGGTATGTGTGTGTGTAGCTGCGAGTGTGTACGTGTGTGTGGTTATTAACTTGAAGTGACCTGATATGAAACCGGAAGAGATCAGTCACTATAAATACCTTGAGAGACAGTTGGTATCTCGCTGTTTCCTTCTTGCCGAGTGCTGGTGGTTTGAGTAACTGACACAACCCGCTCAGCAGCTCCGAGACGTGGGGTGTCAACAGGGGGGAAACCGGAGCTGGTGACGTAGGGTTCTTGTGGCCACTGGACCCCACGGTGTGTGCTCGGGATGGCCTCCGCTCTACCCCTGTCCTCTCTTTTCCTCTTCCTCGGTGGTAAGTAAGGTCGAGCCTCGGAGTCATGAAGAGACTGTAACTGGTGAAGTGTTTCTGGGTCACAGGGACCGCACTGAGGCAGACAGTGCTCCCAATCCAACCCCCAGTGCTCCCTCCCCGCCCACCCCCAGTTCTCCCCACCCACCCCACCACCAGCGCTCCCTCCCCCCCACCCCAGCGCTCCCTTCCCCCCCACCCCAGTGCTCCCACCCACCCCACCACCAGCGCTCCCTCCCCCCCACCCCAGTGCTCCCTCCCCCCCACCCCAGTGCTCCCCACCCACCCCACCACCAGCGCTCCCTCCCCCCACCCCAGTGCTCCCCACCCACCCACCACCAGCGCTCCCTCCCCCCCACCCCAGTGCTCCCCATCCACCCCACCACCAGTGCTCCCTTCTCCCCCACCCCAGTTCTCCCCACCCACCCCACCACCAGCGCTCCCTCCCCCCCCCCAGCGCTCCCTCCCCCCACCCGTTCTCCCCCCACCCCCCACCAGCGCTCCCTCCCCCCACCCCAGCGCTCCCTTCCCCCCCACCCCAGTTCTCCCACCCACCCCACACCAGCGCCCCTCCCCCCCCCAATGCTCCCCATCCACCCACCACCAGCGCTCCCTCCCCCCCACCCCAGTGCTCCCCATCCACCCCACCACCAGTGCTCCCTTCTCCCCCCACCCCAGTTCTTCCCACCCACCCCACCACCACCGCTCCCTCCCCCCCACCCCAGCGCTCCCTTCCCCCCCACCCCAGTTCTCCCACCCACCCACCACCAGCGCTCCCTCCCCCCACCCCAGCGCTCCCTTCCCCCCCACCCCAGTTCTCCCACCCACCCCACCACCAGCGCTCCCCCCCCCCCCACCCCAGCGCTCGCCCCCCCCCCACCCCAGCGCTCCCCCCCCCCACCCCAGCGCTCCCCCCCCCCACCCCAGCGCTCCCTCCCCCAGCTATCCTCGCCCAAACCCTAATCTCTCTAAGGTCATACTGAGGGCTCGCTTCCTTCATTCAGGAAACACCAACCTTATTCATGTACCTACCCGATACCCCTCCAGCCCCCTGCCCCCCTCCCACCATGAGCTGGAGCTCCACCTTCGAGCCTCTCTGTCCTCCCCCTCCCCTCTCGCCCCCTCTCTTTCTCCTCACCTCTGTCACTGGAGAGGAAGTGTAGTGACCGGGTATTTTATGAGCAAAAGCCAATTGCGCAGAGCAGCGTTCCACAAACAGTCGTGGATTGAGTGACCAAATTACTACTTATCTTTTTAAAAAATACTTTTGAAGGGATTATTATCCCCAGAAAAGCGATCCGTCAACCGACTAACAGCCGGGTTCCTACTGACTGCTGGTAAACAGAGGTGTGTGGAATAAGGAAACTTGCCCAGGAATCGAACCCAAGTCTCTTACTTGTGAGGCGAGTGGTCTAACCACTGAGCTACAGGACTCCAATGCAAAGTGTACTGAGCATTTTGTGGGTGAAACTTGACAGCCAATGGTACACAGCAATGCCGCACAAATGGCTGTGGATTGACTGATCACATCATTACTGTTTTAACATTAACCCTGTGTTTGCTGTAGCTGTGCGCTGGCTCCTGGCACTCCGGTTGTGGCCACCAGAGGGCGTGAGGGAGGGGGATCCGGCTTTACTGCAGTGCGACCTCGAGCTGCCCCCCAATACCAGCGTGGGGGATGTGAAGGTGGATTGGTACCATTCCACGCACAGTGCCGAGACCCAACAAGAGGTAACACACCACGGTGGGGGATGGGGGGGAGAGGGCATCACCATAACCAGTCTCCGCTCAAGGACATGTGGACGGACTGTGACTTCATTCCATGTCTGAGATTGGGTTCCCAGCTCCAGTTGGCCAAGTGTAGAGGAGCTTTACTGTGTCTCTAACCCTGACCTGGGAGTGTGGACACACAGTGTAGAGGAGCTTTACTGTGTCTCTAACCCTGACCTGGGAGTGTGGACGCACAGTGTAGAGGAGCTTTACTGTGTCTCTAACCCTGACCTGGGAGTGTGGACGGACACACAATGTAGAGGGAGCTTTGCTGTGTCTCTAAGTCCTACTGGAGACTGTGATTGTCATTGACCAGCTAAACACTAAACTTTTGAGGTGAAATCCTTTGCCGTCAGATCCTGTATTATTACAGTAACATATCGGTGATTGTCCCGGGCACGAACTTCACGTCCAGACTGCTCTGGGCCGGCAACATCCAGCACAACAACTGCTCCATCCTCCTCACCGCAGCCAAGTGCAGCGACTCCGGCCTCTACAGCTGTGAGGTGCGGACGCCCAGGACCCATCGTATCATCCGCAAAGCCAACATGACAGTCAGGGTCCTGTGTGCAGGTAATGAAGATATCAATGTAGTTTTCCTGCCTGGATACGATGTGTGTCCCTGTAGCTCAGTGATTAGAGCCCTCGCCTCACAAGCCAGAGGACCCGACTGCAATTCCCGGGAAGGACATGACAAAACCTTAGACAAGTTTCCTTACTCCACACACACACAGACAGACACATCACACACACGCGCACACACCTCTTTTCTCAGCAGTCAGTAGGAACCCGGTTGTTAGTCGATTGGCGAATTGCTTTCCGGGGGTAATAATGCCTTCCAAAAAGAAATGTGGTCACTCAATCCACGACTGTTTGTGGGGCGCTGCTGTGTGCAATTGCCTGCCATGTTTCACCCAGGAAATACAGTCACTACACTTCACAGTATTTACTGTTTACCCAGCAGTAAGTGGGAACCCGGTTGTTAGCCGATTGGTGGATCGCTTTCCCGGGGATAATACTCCTTCAAAATAAACAATAATAGTTTGGTCACTCAATCCACGACTGTTTGTAGGACGTTGCTGTGTGCAATTGGCTGCCACATTTTGCCCACAAAATATACAGTCAATTCACTTTATAGTGTGTTCTGTGAAGCGCTTTGAGACGTCTCGACGATGTAATTACGTATTATATCAAATACAAGGATTATTTTTTTACCACAATCCTCCTCCCACCACAGAAGCTCCCTCTACACTGTGCGTCCACACTCCCAGGTCAGGGTTAGAGACACAGTAAAGCTCCTCTACACTGTGCGTCCACACTCCCAGGTCAGGGTTAGAGACACAGTAAAGCTCCTCTACACTGTGTGTCCACACTCCCAGGTCAGGGTTAGAGACACAGTAACACTCCCTCTACACTGTGCGTCCGTCCACACTCCCAGATCAGGGATAGAGACACAGTTCCTCCTGCCACAGGTACAGTGTAATTGTATGAATTGTCTCTGGTTCCCTCAGGGTTCAGGGTGCGGAGACTTAAGGTTCCGATGCCGGTGTTGCAATTGTGGCACATACCGGTGTATTCCGTGGTGGGAGTGCTGGGATTGTGTGTGACTCTGGCTCTCCTGGCAGTGTGGGCGCTGAGGAGACAAAGGTAATAGATTTCGAGAATATATGTGGAGTCTTATAGCTCAGTGGTTAGAGCACTCGCCTCGCATACGAGAGGACTTGGGTTTGATTCCTGGGCAGGGAAAAATGTTGGGCAAATTTCCTTACTCCACACGCCTCTGTTTACCTAATACGAGGAAACTGGTTGTTAGTGAATTGTCAGATCAGTTTTCTGGGGATTTCAAAATAAATTTAAATAAAATAATAATTTGGTACTCAATCTACGACTGTTTGTGGGACGCTGCTGTGCACCATTGGCTGCCGCGTTTCACCCACAAAATATACAGTCAATTCATTTTACAGTATATTCTGTGAAGCGCTTTGAGACGTCTCAACGATGAGATAAGGCGCTATATCAAATGCAAGGATTATTATTATATCTGAGACAATATAGTTTGGCACATGACATGGTAAGCGACTGCCAGGATGGTGGAAGGCGAATGGGATGGGCCTTAGTTTTCTTTCACCAACTAATTCTTATGTAGAAGTTGTTTTTTACAACTAATTGTAAACTTGTCATTTCTCCATCTCTCTCTCTCTCTCCCCTGATGTGGGACCTGTTTAACAGGAGGAACGAGGCTGCCCGACCCACAAACTCTGAGGTAATAAAATGAATCTGGGGAAGTTCTTAAGAACAAGACTGAAGTGGATAGATAATAATAATAATAATAATAATCCTTGCATTTGATATAGCGCTTTTCACGTCGGGAGGACGTCCCAAAGCGCTTCGGTCAAAGTATCAAGAGATATGAGGCAAAAGCAGGTATTTGGAATTGAGATACAGATCAGCCATAGAATGGCAGACCAGGCTCAACCGGCTGAATGGATGCCTCCTTTACCTATAATAACTTGCGTCTGTTGGCATAAGAGCCATCCACGGGAATTTTGGGAGAGAGTTCCATCTGCAACAAGACCCTGGCCATCAAGGAACTCATCCTTGATGAGAACATTGACATTATGGCCCTCACTGAAACCTGGCTCACCCCAGGTGATACCTTCGCCCTCACTGAGGCCACTACCACCATGCCTTACGCCCCAACCGCTGTGGTGGCGGAATAGCCCTCATCTCCAGGGCGTTACTTGCTCTGTCCCCCTACTCCACTGGCTCGTTCCCCTCTTTCGAACACTTTATCGACATCACCAACCTGTCCCTCTCCTGTGGCTCTGTTCCCATTCCTCTAAAAACTGCCATCATCACTCCCACTTTGAAAAAAACCTCCATTGATGCGTTGCAGCTATCAAGCTATCAAGCTATCAAGCCCATCTCCCCTTCCTGTCCAAGGACCTTGAAAGAGTGGTCGCCTCCCAGTTGCGCTCTTTCCTCTCCACCCATTCATTATTCAAACCCGTTCAGTCGGGTTTCGGTGCTGCCCATAGCACAGAAACTGCCCTGGTCAAGGTCACCAATGACATCCTGACCATCTGCGACCAGGGCTCCCTCTGCCTCCTCGTCCTCCTCGACCTATCGGCAGCATTCGATACGGTCGACCTCCTCCACCGCTTGTCCTCCCACCTCAACCTTCAAGGCCCTGTCCTTGAGTGGTTTAAGTCGTACCTCTCCCACCGTCTTCATTTTTTATTTCCACGAATGGCTTTTCCTCCCCCCCCGCACTGTCTCGTGTGGTGTCCCTCAGGGCTCTGTCCTCGGTCCCCTCCTCTTCACCCTCTATATGCTCCCCCTGTGGTGACATCATCCGCAGACATGGGGTTAACTCCCACATGTATGCGGATGACACCCAACTCTACCTTTCCTCCTCTACCCTCAACTCCACGACCCCCGATGTCCTGACAGCTGTCTGTCCGACATCGAGTCCTGGACGAGAGACAACTTTCTTCAGCTCAACGTGCGTAAAACTGAGGCCCTCCTGATTGGCTCACGTCAGCGCCTCCGCACTTCAGGCGCTGACAGCATCAGCATCCAAGGCCGCACTCTCCACCTCTCAAAGCCATCAGGAACCTCGGGGTTCTGTTCGACCCTGAGCTGTCCTTTCTTCCTCATATCCGCACCACAACTGGCACCGCCTTCCATCACCTCTAAAACATTGCCAGACTACGGCACTACCTCACCCCTCACGCGGCTGAAACTCTGGTCCACACCTTTATCACCTCAAGGCTGGACTATGGGAACTCTCTCCTCGTCGGCCTTCCCGGCCCTCCCTCCACACTGCAGGTCATTCAGAACTCTGCAGCTCGTGTACTGTCCCGCACCAGACACCGCGTCCACATCACTGCCACCCTCGCCCTCACCCTCACCCTCGCCCTCACCTTCAGCCTCGCCCTCACCCTCGCCCTCGCCCTCGCTCGCCTCCACTGGCTTCCCATCCCCCAGAGGATCGAATTCAAGATCCTCATCCTCACCTACAAGGCCATTCACGGCCTCGCTCCCTCCTACCTCTCCGACCTACTATCCCCCTACTTACCTGCCCGTACCCTCCGTTCCTCTGGCTCCGGTCTGCTCCACATCCCCCGCCCCAACCGCCCTACCATCGGTGGCCTTCAGCCTCTCAGCCCCGAGGCTCTGGAACTCCATCCCCAGTGCCTTCGCCGCTTCCTCCCTTTCCTCCTTCAAGGCCGGTCTCAAGACCTTTCTCTTTGACTGTGCCTTCAGCTCCCCTCTTGATTCTCTACCCTCTCCTCGCCCCCTCCCTTCCCTCCCCTCACCCTGACCATTTCCCCCCTGCTCGGGTCCTGACCCAACTGTACAGCGCCTTGGGACGTCCTCCCGACGTGAAAGGCACTCTATAAATGGAATCTTGTTGTTGTTGTTTACCCTCTGTCATCCCTCCCATCTCTCTCCAAAAATCCTCCTAATTTACCGCCCCCCAAAATCCTCCCCCACCTTCATCTCTGACATCTCCACCCTCTTTGCTTCCCTCTGTATCTGCTCCAACCCCCTCATCATCCAAGGTAACTTCAACCTCCACTTCATCCCTTCCTACTCTCCCTCCTCAGATCTCCTCTCTCCTCTCCTCTCCTCTCTCAACCTCTTCCTCTACATCGACTCTGCTACCCACGTTCACTGCTACCTACTTGACCTGGTGATCACCCAGGGCCTCAGCGTCTCGGATGTCACCATCACTGACAAGGCTATCTCTGACCACCATTTCATCTCCCTCAACTCCTATATCCGTCTCCCCACTGTCTCCAAACCTACAACCATCTTCTGCTAACCATGGAAGAAGATCTCCCCACAGTCCCTCTCCGCTGCCCTGGAGTCTTTTGATCTCCTCCCCCTCTGGCCCACCTCTCGCAACAACCCACTCGCTGCACTTACTCTTCTCCACAGCACGCTCTCCACCACACTTGATGCCCTTGCCCCCCTCACCTCCCAAAGTGCCTCCTATTCCTGATCCTCACCCTGGTTCACCAGCCACCTCCGCTTGCTTAAGGGCCAGGTGTGGGCTGCCGAATGCACTTGGCTCAAATCCGGCCGAACGGTCCACCGCCACATCTGGCTGGACCTCATCAAGAACTACCGCTCCACTCTCGCCTCAGCCAAATCGTCCTTCTACTCCAGGTTAATCCTGGAGGGGAAAGGCAATCCCAGGCTCCTGTTCTCCACCACCAACTGGCTCCTCCGCCCTCCCCAGCACGCCTCGCAGATTCTTTCCTCTGACTCTCACTGCGAGAAAATGCTGGACTTCCTTGATTGCAAAATTGATGGAATCTGCTCAGCTGCCACCTCCCCCCCAACTTCCACCCCCCCCTACCCCCCACGCCCACACTCCGACAATTATCCATCCCGCGTTTCACATCTTTGAACCTGTCAACCCCTCCTCTGTCTTCACCACCATATGAAGCCCATCACCTGCTCCCTGGACCCCATCCCCACCCCTCTCCTTAAATTCCAGCTCCACCTTCTTGCCCCACTACTCGCCGACATCACCAACCTCTCCCTGTCATCTGGCACTGTTCCTTCCCCCCTCAAAACAGCCATTATCACCCCCACCTTGAAGAAACCTTTCCTTGACCCATCACAGCTATCCAGCTACTGACCCATCTCCCAACTCCCTTTTCTGTTTAAGGTCCTTGAGAAAGCCTTCACCTCCCAGCTACGCTCTTTCCTCTCCTCCTCCAAGAACCCCTCCAATCGGATTTCCATCCTGCCAACAGCACAGAAACTGCTCTGGTCAAGGTCACAAGTTACATCCTGACCATGTGCAACCAGGGCTCCCTCTGCCTCCTCATCCTCCTCGATCTCTCCACCACCTTTGACACCGTGGACCATTCAATCCTCCTCAACTGCCTCTTCTCACCTGAACCTTCAAGGTTCTGTCCTTGACTGGTTCAGGTCCTACCTTTCACACTGCCTCCACTTAGTCGCAGCAAACGGCTTCTCCTCCAGCTCCCGCACTGTCTCGTGCGGTGTTCCTCAGGGCTCTGTCCTCGGTCCCCTCCTCTTCACCCTCTACATGTTCCCCTTGGTGACATCGTCCACAGACTTGGGGTAAATTTCCACATGGATGCGGATAACACTCAATCACGCCAGCACCTCCACACCTCCGAAGCAACAGCCTCCACGGCTGCACACTCACCCTCACTAAGGCAGTCAGGAACCTGGGTGTCTTGTTTGACCCTGAACTGTCCTTTCTCTCCCACATCCGCGCCATGACCGGCACTGCCTACCACCACCTCCGCAACATTGCCACACTCTGCCACTGCCTCACCCCTCAGGCCCCCAAACCCTCACCATTTGTCACATCGAGGCTCGATTACAGAAACTCCCTCCTCATCGGCCTTCCCAACTCTTCCCTTCACAACCTGCAGATCATCCAAAGCTCTGCAGCTCATGTACTCTCATGTACCAGACTCCATAACCCCATCACTCCCACCCTCGCCCGACCCCATCACTCCCACCCTCGCCCGAGTCCCCCAGAGAATCGAGTTCACGATCCTCGTCCTTACTTTCAAGGCCATCCATGGCGTCGCCCCCTCCTATCTCTCTGACCTCCCTACCAACCTGCCCGCTCCCTCCGTTCAGTGGGCTCCGGTCTGCTCCATGTCTCCCGCCCGACCCGCCCTACTATCGGGGGCCGGGCTTTCAGCCTCTCTGCCCCCACACTCTGGAACTCTATCCCACGGTCCCTTTCCTCACTTCCTCCCTCGCCTCCTTCAAGGCCTCAAGACCCTCCCCTTCAATCGTGCCTTCGGTCACCCTCCCACCTCTCTGCCTTCCCTCAGGCCCCGCCCCTGACTGTTCAACGCCTTGGGATGTCCTCCTGATGTGAAAGGAGCTCTATATATGTAATTTTGTTGTTGTCATTGTTGAGTTGGAGAGGAAAAGAGAGCAGGGTCTGGGTGGATGGAACTGAGATTAGCAAATGGAGGATTAATAATAATAATAATCCTTGCATTTGATATCGCGCCTTATCACATTGTAGTGACTGTACATTTGTAGGCGAACCTCAGCAGCCAATTGCGCACAGCAGTGTCCCCAAAACAGTCGTGGATTAAGTATCCAAATTACTGTCAGGAAACATTCTTAAACTAAAGAAAAGGCAAAATACTGCAGATGCTGGAAATCTGAAATAAAAACAGAAGCGGCTGGGAATACTCGACAGGTCAGGCAGCATCCATGGAGAGAGGAAAGTGAGTTAACGTTTCAGGACGATGACTTTTCGTCAGAACCGGGGGGTTTTGGAAGGGAGCAGATTATAAGGACAAGCAGAGAAGGTGGCGGGGAAAGAAAAACAAAGGAAACATTGAGGTGGAGGACAGGATCTCATCAGCGACTTCTGTTTTTATTCTTAAACTAAATACGTTTCCACAGGAGCCGGACATCTACGTGACTGTGAACCGGAGATCTGGCCTCGGAGCGGAGCCAGGGAAACCCACAGAGAGAACAAGAGATCAGGAGAAGGAAGCAGCCTCCAATGAAACCTACATGACGATGGTGAGAAACTCCCTGGAGTCCTGTAGCTCAGTGGTTAGAGCACTCGACCTGGGTTTGATTCCCGGGCAGGGCAAAACGTTGGGCAAGTTTCCTTACTCCACGCGCCTGTTTACCAGCAGTCAGTAGGAACCCGGTTGTTAGTCAATTGGTGGATCACTTTCCAGGGGTAATAATCCCTCCCCCCAAAAAATTATAAGAAATTGGTCACTCAATCCACGTGAGGTGCTGTTGTGTGCAATTGACTGCCGGGTTTCACCCACAAAGTACACAATCACTCACTTTACAGTATATCCTGTGAAACACTTTGAGACGTTTGAACGTTGTAATAAGGCGCTATATCAAATGCAAAGATTATTATTATAAAATACAATGCAAAGTTACATTTACACAGTGCCTTTCATGTCGAGAGGACTTCCCAAGGCGCTGGACAGTCAGGGATTTGGACCCGAGCTGGGGGTTGGTATCAGGAGGGGTGGAGGGCAGGGAGGGTGGGGGTAGGACTTAAGGCCGAAGAGGAAGGTCCTGAGAAGGGCCTTGAAGGAGGCAAGGGAGGGAACAAGGTGGAGGGAATGTGGGATGGAGTTCCAGAGGATGGGCACAGAGAGGCTGAAGGCCCAACCTACAATGGTGGAGTGGGCCGGGCAGGGGACGTGGAACAGGCTGGATCCCACTGAGCAGAGGGAGCGGACAGGTTGATTTGGGGTCACAGAGGAAGGAAGGAGTGAGACCATGAAGTGATGGGAAGTCTGACAAGCAGGGAGTTGGCAAAGTCATTAATAAATGTTTTTCCTCCCCCAGCGTGCGTGGATGGGATTCCAGAAAGGTTTGTGTCCAAGACCACGCCCGGCATTGACTCTACACCAACACCCAGACCCTCACCAACACCCAGACCCTCACCAACACCCAGACCCTCACCAACACCCAGACCCTCACCAACACCCAGACCCTCACCAACACCCAGACCTTCATCCACACCCTCATCCAGACCCATGTCCAGGGGCAATAACTAACACAGGAGACGTCTCCGATGGAGGTTCCCGGGTAGCCACAGGAACATTGACTGCGGAACCACAACAGTGATCACACTCGGGGCCATGTCGTGTTGAGATGCTAACACACAGAGTATGTGTCCGGCATCTCAGCCAATCAGTCACCTCCGTGCCCTCACTGGGCACAGGAACGAGAGGAAGGAAGGAAGGAGCAAAGGAAAGAGTGAAGGAAAGAAGGAAAGAATGAATGAACTTGTGTTTTTGACATTGCTTTATATACTGTTTGAGACGCCTCATGTCACAGCGAGTTTCTGGAGGAAATTTTTAAAACTTTTGTAAGAAAATCTGTTTATAAACTGCAGAAAATGAATCGAGAACAATTGTGGGATTTTGACCAGGACCCGGGGGGGGGGAGGTGAGGGGGGAATGGGGGTTGGAGGGGAGTAGGGTGAACAAATACAGGGATCAAACACCTTGTGAATGAGAGATTGTAACCCCCCCCCACATGTGTGTGTGTGTGGTATGTAAGTGAGTGTGTGTGAGAGAAAGTGTATGTATGATAGTATGTATGTCTGTGTGGAGCAGTGTGTGAGTGTGTGTGGCTGTGAGGGTGTGTGTGCGAGGGTGTGTGGGAGGAGGGAGGGGTGTGAGTGTGTGTGGCTGTCTGTATGTGTAAGAGTGTGTAAATGAGGGTGTGTGGGGATGGGTGCGTGTGAATGTGTGTGTTTGAATGAGGGTGTGTGTGTGAAGGTGTATGAATGTGTGTGTGTGTGGGGAGGGGTGTGTGTGAGGGTATGTATGAGGGTGTGTGGGGCAATGGTGTGTGAGGGTGTGTGCTTGAGGGTGTGTGTCAGGGTGTGTGTGAGGGTGTATGTATGTGTGTGTGAGTGGGGAGGGGTGTGTGAGTGTATATATGTGCAGAGGGGTGTGTGTGAGTGGAGAGTTGTGTGTGAGTGTGCGTGTGTGAGCATACGTGAAAGTGCATGTGAATGCATGTGACTTTGTGAGAGTGCGAGTGTAAGTGTGTGAGTGGGGCGGTGTGTGCAAGTGGTGTGTGTGTGTGCGAGAGTGTGTGAGTGTGAAGGGAGAAGTGGTGAGTGTGTGATGGCAAAGCTAACCTGACCTCACTGCTCACTGATCCTTCCTCCTCCACCTCCGGCTGTTCCCGTGGCTGCCCAGTGTGAGTGGCGCTGGACATATACAACTTGTTCTTGGGGTCTAAAGTGGTGATAGATTATCTAACAGGAATCCACTGCTTTGTCACACTGATCCTGGCACCTCTCGCACACTCACTGCTTCATAAACACCTCCCTCCTCCTCCCCTCTCTCCCCCCTCCCCTCTCTCCCCCCTCCCCTCTCTCCCCCTTCCCCTCTCCTCCCCTCTCTCCCCACTCCCCTCTCTCCCCCTTCCCCTCTCCTCCCCTCTCTCCCCCCTCCCCTCTCTCCCCCCTCCCCTCTCCTCCCCTCTCTCCCCCCTCCCCTCTCTCCCCCCTCCCCTCTCTCCCCCCTCCCCCACCATCTTTCCCTGTGCCCTTTCTCACAGCAATTGAAGGTGGATTGTGAGGCTGGATTTGTGCCATCTGGGCTTTAGTTTTGAGGGAGCGGAGGTGACTGTTATACCAGGGGGAGTGGGTTGATTTGGAGACAGACCTGGATTTCGGGGAGGGGGGCAAGAGAGTTGAGCGTAACAGAGAGACAATCGGTTAGCAGCTTGATGGCTCCATCAGGATCACTGGGAATGGAAGTCCAGAAGGAGAAGAGATCCGAGGAAGAGAGGGACTCGGTTAGAAGCTTTTTCTAAAGCTGGAAAAAGATGGTGGAGAGTTTGGAAGAGGGGAGGGGAATGCAGGAGGAGAGAGAGATGAGGAAATGGTCAGACATGACCTTGTCTGTGGACAGACTAGAGATGTCAAGGCCGTAAGTGATGATGAGGTCGAGGGGGTGGCCACGGTCGTGGGTCAGGGAGCTGATGTGGAGGGTGAGGTTTAGCGAGGAGAGGAGGGCAGTGAAGTCGGAGGAGATGAGGGAAGGGGAGTTTAGGTGAAGGTTGAAATCACCCATTATGATTAGGTGGTCAGTGCAGAGGCGGAGGGAGAAGGAGGGAGGAGATGTCAGGGATGAAGGAACCAGATGGTTTGGGAGGATGATAAATGAGGATGATTTTGAAGGAAAGGGAGGGAGGGTACAGGGTTACGTGTTCAAAAGAGAGGAAGGAACTGGAGGAATAGGGGGATAGAGTGAGGGACGTTTGGGAGATGAGGGCCACCCCCACCACAGTGTCAGTTTGGCCGGGGGATGTGGGGGGTGGGGTACGGTCTGGTGAAAGGTGTAGCCGGGGGTGGGGGAAGAGGCTTCGATCAGGGAGACAGGATCACCAGGGGTCAGACAGGTTTCAGTGAGCCTAAGAGTGTCGATGTTATCATTCAGGATGAGACCATGGATCATGAGGGCTTTATTGGAGAGGGAGCAGAAATTTTGGAAAGAAATGTGAGCTGGTGGAGGAGGGAGGGAAGGGAGGGTTTTAGGCTCTGGGGGAGAATTGACCGTGAAGGGTGGGGGAGTTGGGAAGGGTTAGGAAAACATGTCACGTGGACAAGGGAGGGGTGTTTGCCTTTTGGAGGTGGGTGAGGGATCTGTGTCGGGAGAGTCAGTGATGGGGCAGTTGGAGGGGGCTGCTTTGGGACAACCATTGCCCAGAGCCACAATGGACCTGGCAGAGGATGCCCAAGCTAGAGCAGGGGAGGCAGTGATGGGGTCCAGGAGAGAGAAGGCGAGGAGGGCAGTGGGATAGAAAGACTAATTGGAAGTAGTGGAGGGTGGGGAGTAGAAAGGGAGCATTTTCGGAGGGGAGGTGCGGCTTGGGTCAGGGTAGCAGCCAAAACACGGACATGGAGACTGGGAGCAGGCATTTAAGGGGCATACCCTGGGACATGGTGGCCATGGGAGGCTAAAGAATACACTCACACGGACACACATACACACACGCAGACATATACACACACAGACATATACACATACACAGACAGATATACACACAGACACACACATACACACTCACGCATACACAGACATATACACACATTTATACACACACAGACAAATAACATACACAGACATATAGAATTGTACAGCACAAAAAGAGGCCATTCGGCCCATCGAGTTTGTGCCGGCATACATACACATACATAGACACATATACACACACACTACACAGACATATATACACACACATACGCAGACACATATACACACACATGCACAGACATATACACACACATACACAGACACATATACACATACACACAGCCATACACACACACACACATACATACACACATACACAGACATATACAAACACACATATACACACACATACACATACACACACAGACACATATATACACACATACATAACACACATACATATACACACAGACATAACATACATATATACACACACAGACATATACACATACACACACACAAACACAGACATCTACACACACATATACATACACAGCATATAGACATACATATACACACACACAGACACATAAACACACACACAGACACATATACAGATACCTAAACACACACACAGACACATATACACACACACACAGACACATACACACACACAGACATACACACACACAGAAAGAACCAGCCATATTGCACAAGGCACGTCCCAGCCCCAGCCCAGTCTGTCTCTGCTCTACTCTGTGTGTAGCCGCCGGGAGGAGAGGATGAGAGTTGCTTTCCCACCTTCTCCATCACCCCTGAGGGTTTGGACCCGAGGCTTTCTCCTTGTCCTGCTGTCCAGCGCCTGGGGTAAGTCAACCGGCCAGCCTTACCTTCTCCATCTCTCCCTCTATCTCCTTCCCTCTCCTCTCTTCAGCACAGCAGCATCTGACAAGCTGCAGCCTTAACCCACTTAATTTGGGTCCTCATCACTGCAAATTAGCTCTCTACATGTTTGTGTATGTGTGTGTGTGTGTGTGTTTGTATGTATGTATATATGTGTGTGTGTGTCTCTCTATGTCTGTGTGTGTCTCTACATGTGTGTGCCTCTGTGTATCAATCACTTTATACATCACAAAACAAGCCTTAAAAATATGTCATCCCTCTGAAGCCAATTACCCATTCCCTGGCTGTGTGCGTATATATATATATCTTATTTCTATTTGTATATATCAAATAATACGTTTGATATATTTATCAGATTAAATAATACATTTAAAATGGGATTTTCTTTTGCAATTGCCTCTCTACCTACCCGTTATTTACAGTGTTTATGATGCGTTTAAACACTCTCCTTTAAATTGTTAATCATAAATAAAACATATGTTTATGTGGATTGTATAGAGATCAAAGATCTCCTTAATCTGCTGGTGGGTAAATGTTGTGTGTGTCACTGGCTCGAACTCAGCGCCATTTAATGCCTGGGGTAAGGCAGAAACCTTAAACATCTCTCTCTCTCTCTCTCTCTCTCTCCAGCCGGGAGCACAGGGTAAATGTAGGGTTTGCAAAGACAATATAACTTCAGATATTGGGGGGAGAGGCAGCCACTCCCCCCCCCACCCCACACACACTAAGGAAGATAAGGGGGGAGAAAGACACACACACACTCACTCGTAATAGGTGGGGAGAGAGAGAGACGCACACATACCCTGCACTAATTAAAGCCTATTTTTGGTACCATTCTCAGCTTCTAAACTTAACTCACTATCTTACAGTGCAGGCTGATGCTCCAGTGTAGCACTGGGGGAGGGGAAAGGGAAAGGGGGTGGAGTGCTGCTTTGGGGGTTGCTGTTCTTTGATAAGACTTCAAACTGTGCCCTGTTCAGACAGACATCAACAATCCTATGGGGATGTCAGAAAAGAGACAGGAGATGCCTCCCTCTGGTGACCTGCCCGACAATCTCCCCAGATACATCACTCATTTCATGTCTGTGTGTAAAATTACTGCCATGTTTGTCAACCAACACACAGTCACTACACTGTGCATCAACTCCCTGCGAAGTTCTTCAGACATAGTGACGTTATAACTGAATTATTATTTTATCTGTTTATTGAGTCAGGTAGTGACTGCGGGTTGTGTGTGTTATTGTTTGCGTCTGTGTGTGTGTCTCTGTGTGCGCGTCTGTGTATGTGTGTGGAGGGGGGTTGGCGGTGGACGCTGCAATTAATTAATTCTCATAAGGAATCTCAGTGAGGTTACACAGCTTAGGTTGGCAAGAGCCAAGGCTTGGGGGGGGGGGAGCCCAGAGTATACGTTGGGGAAATCTGCTGGAGTCTGACCAGCTAAAACCGTCCAGTTTGCCATTGATTGAATGGTAAGCTTTCCCACTGCTTGTCCAGCTAGAACCACAATTGTTTTGGGCTTTGATTTAAACATCAGATTAAATTATAATTAAACAAGAGTTTCAGTGTTAGTCATACCTCCCAATGCATAGCTACCCTCCCATGAGTTACTGAGCAACTCAACAAAATTGATGCCCAACCAGCCCATCCTTAGATTAGTGGAGTTGGGAAGCTCAGCGGTTCGATTCCCGGCAGGCCAAAACGTTAGACAAGTTTCCTTACTCCACACGCTGTTTACCTAGCAGTAAGTAGGAACCCTATCTCTCCCTCCTCCCTCACCACCATCGTTCGCAAACTCAAACCCACCACCTGCTCCCTCGATCCCATCCCCACCTCTCTCCTCATCTCCCAGCTCGACCTTCTTACCCTCTCCTGTCCGACGTCATCAACCTCTCCCTGTCCACCAGTTCAGTTCCCGCCCCCCTAAAAACAGCCGTCATCACCCGCATCCTGAAAAACCTTCCCTGGACCCATCCCTCCTCTCCAGCTATCCCCCATCTCTAACCTCCCATTTCTCTCCAAGGTCCTGGAACGTCCCAGCTCTGCTCTTTTCTCTCTCGCCATTCTCTCTTTGAACCCCTCCAATCCGGCTTCCGCTCTGCCGACAGCACTGAAACAGCCCTGGGGGTCAAAGTCACTAATGACATTCTGAACATTTGTGACAGGACTCCCTCTGTCTCTTTGTCCTCCTCGACCTCTCTGCCGCCTTCAACACTGTCGACCACTCCATCCTCATACACCGCCTCTCCTCCTTACTTAATCTTCGCGGACCTGCCCTTGCCTGGCTCGATTCCTGTCTCTCTCACCGTCTCCACTTTGTTGCCTCTAACGGTTTCTCCTCCAGCCCCCGCACTGTCACGTCTGGCGTCCCCCAGGGCTCTGTCCTTGTCTCCTCTTTAATATCTACATGGTCCCCCTCGGTGACATCATCCGCAGACATGGGGTCAACTTCCACATGTATGGGATGACACCCAACTCTATCTTTCTGCCTCCACCCTCAACTCCAGGACCACTGCTGTCCTGACAGACTGTCTGTCGGACATCAAGTCCTGGATGAGGGCAAATTTCCTACAGTTGAATGTGAATAAGACTGAGACCCTCCTGATTGGCTCAAACCAGCGCCTCCGCACCTCAGGCTCCGGCAACATCACCCTCCATGGTTGGACACTACAACTCACCGCCAGTCAGGAACCGAGGTGTCTTGTTTGACCCTCAACTGTCTTTTCTCCTCCACATCCAAGCCTTGACCCGCTCGGCCTTCCCTCACCTCCGTAACATGGCCCGACTCTGCCACTACCTCACCCCTCAGGCCACTGAAACTCTTGTTTATCCATTCATCATCTCCAGGCTCGACTACGCAAACACCCTGCGTGTCGGCCTTCCCAACTCCTCCCTCCACAGACTGCAGATAATCCAGAACTAACTTTGCAGCCCGTGTCCTCTTCCACACCAAACTCTGTGACCCCATCTCCCCCACTCTCGCCCGACTCCATTGGCTCCTTATCCTTCAGAGGATCCAGTTCAAGATCCTGGTCCTCACATACAAAGTCCTCCATGGCCTCGCCCCACCCTACCTCTGCCACCTCCTAACCCCCTACCAACCCGCCCGTTCCCTCTGCTCAGCCGGCTCTGGCTGCTCCACGTCCCCCGACCCACCCGCCCCACCATTGGCGGGAGAGCCTTCAGCCACTCTGCCCCCAACCTCTGGAATTCCATCCCCCAATCACTCCGCCTCACCCCCTCCTTAACCTCCTTCAAGTCCCACCTCTAGACTCTCCTCTTCGACCATACCATTGGTCACTCTCCCCGACCCCAGCTCGGGTCTGAAATGCTGTCACTGTCCATACAAATATAATCCTGTTGTTGTTAGTCGATTGGCGGAACACGTTTCCGGGTGTAATAATCCCATACTGTGTCTCTAACCCTGACCTGGGAGTGTGGACGCACAGTGATAACCTGACAGGGCCCCATTTCTGCTGTAGAAATAAACAATTGCATCACCTTCCGCACACAGCAGCTCCTGATCTTGTGAATTAACTGGAACGTTTCCAGAAGAAACATGTACTCAAGAATCCTCACAAACACATCAACTGAAATTTTCTTCTATATAAATGTTATAAAGGCACTATATAAATGTTAATTGTTTTTTGCTGTGATGGAGAGAAATTATATAACAGATGTTTATCCACAGCTGGAGGACATTCGATGATGTAATTCTCTGTTGTCATGGTCCCATGTGGCTGTCTGTATCTGTGTGCCTGTGTCTGGCTATGCGTTGAGTGTGTGTGTTGGTTGGTCAATGTTTGTGAGTGTGTGTCTATGTGTGTTGGAATATGTATCTATCACCCCCATCCTCGCCCGACTCCACTGGCTTTCCATCACACAGAGGATACAGTTCAAGATCCTGGTCCTCACCTTCAAAGCCCTCCATGGTCTTGCTCCCCCCTACCTCTCCGACCTCCTAACCCCCTACCATCCTGCTCGCTCCCTCCCCTCAGCGGGCTCCGGCCTGCTTCATGTCTGCCGCCTGGCCCGCCCATCATTAGCAGGCGGGCCTTCTGCCACTCTGACCCCCACTCTGGAACTCTACTCCACAGTTCCTCCATCTCACCCCTTCCCTCACTTCTTTCAAGACCAGTCTCAACACCCTCCGCTTCCACCGTGCCTTCGGTTACTCTCCTTCTCCCCCCTGCCCTCCACCAGCCCCGATAACGACCCCCAGCTCAGATCCGAAACAATGATTTTGTTGTTGTTGGGGATGTATGTATGTCGGGGTGTATGTCTGTACGTGTGTGTATGTCGGGGTGTGTGTTATGTGTATGTCAAGGTGTGAGTGTGTATGTTGGGGGGTGTGAATGTGTATGTTGGGGCGTGTGTGTGTGTATATCGGGGTGTGTGTATATTGGGGTGTGTGTATGTCAGGGTGTGTGTGTATGCTGGGGTCTGTGTGTGTATCCCGGGATGTGTGTTTATGCTGGGGTGTGTGTATATGTCAGGGGGTGTGTATGTGTGTGCGCTGGGGTATGTGTGTATATGTCGGGTGTGTGTGTGTATGCCAGGATAGGTGTATGCTGGGTGTGTATGCTGGGGTGTGTGTGTGTGTATGCCAGGGTGTACTTGCATGTGTGTATGTCAAGGCGTGTCTGTGTATGTCGGGGCGCGCGTGTGTGTCGGGGCGCGCGTGTGTCGGGGCGCGCGTGTGTGTCGGGGCGCGCGTGTGTGTCGGGGCGCGCGTGTGTGTCGGGGCGCGCGTGTGTGTCGGGGCGCGCGTGTGTGTCGGGGCGCGCGTGTGTGTCGGGGCGCGCGTGTGTGTCGGTGTGTGTATGTCCATGTGTATGCCGGTGTGTGTGTGTGTTCGTGTGCCTGTGTATGCTGGGGTGTGTGTTAATGCCAGGGTGTGCATGCGTGTGTATGCAGGGGTGTGCGCATGTGTGTGAATGCCGGGGTGTGTTCATGTGTATGCCAGAATGTGCATGTGTGTATGCTGGGGTGGGTGGGTATGCTGGTGTGTGTGTGTGTATGCCAGGATGTGCGTGTATGTATGTATGCTGAGGTGGGTGTGTATGCTGGGGTTTGTGTGTATGCCAGGGTATGTGTGTGTGTATATGCTGGGGTGTACGAGCATGTGTATGCACCAGGGTGTGCTCATGTATATGCTGGGCTGTGCGCATGCGTGTGTGTGTATATGCAGAGGTGTCCGTCTGTGTATGCTGGGGTGTGTGTGTGTATGCCGGCATGTGTGTATGTCGGGGTGTGGGTATTTCAGGGGATGCACGTGTGTGTGCGTCGGGGTGTGCGCGGCAATGTGTGTGGCAGGGTCGATGTGCGCGCATTGGTGTGTGTGCGCGCCCGTCGGGTTGTGTGTGCGCGTGCACATGACGGGGTATGCGTGTTATAGCGGGGTGTGTGTGGCGGGATGCGTGGGTGTGTGTGGCGGGCTGCGCGGGTGTCGAAATGCGCATATGTGCGCGTATGTCGGGGTGTGTACGTATGTCGGGGTGTGCGCGTATGTCGGGGTGTGCGTATGTGCGTGTATGTCGGGGTGTGCGTATGTGTGTGTATGTCGGGGTGTGCGTATGTCGGGGTGTGTGTATGTGTGCGTATGTCAGGGTGTGTGTATGTTGAGGTGTGTGTACGTGTGTGTCTACCTTCCGGTCACACTCATCACTTTCACATCATACTGAGCTTCTGTTGCAGCTGATTTACGGTACGGGGGAGGGGAGCATGGCGGGGGGGGGGGGGCGGCATAATAATAATAATAATCCTGCATTTGATATAGCGCTTTTCACGTCGGGAGGACGTCCCAAAGCACTTCACAGAACAACTGTAAAGTGAATTGACTGTATATTTGTGGGCGAACGCGGCAGCCAATTGCGCACAGCAATGTCCCACAAACAGTCGTGGATTGAAAATGACCAATTTATTATTGTTTTTGGTTTTGGAGGGATTATTATTAGGCTCTGTGTGGAGTAAGGAAACTTGCCCAAGGTTTCGCCCTCTGCCTGGAATTGAACTCAGGTCTCTCACTTGCAAAGCGAGTGCTCTAACCACTGAGCTACAGGACTCCACGAGGGAGGAGAGGGGGAAAGGGGCCGCTCGCTCTCCCCCTACCCCCAGCTCCTGCACAGAAACCCTCCTCTGCTCTGTCCGCCTCCAACTGCAGTTGTGGATACGATAATAACATTGAAACTATTTTTAGCTCCAAAACGGCTCAATCCTGCGCCAGGGACTCGGGGAGAGAGTTAACATGAGCCGAGTCAGTGCAGGACACGCTGACTAGTGCAAATGCACAGACATGTATCCACACACGTACACACCGACGTTTATCCAGAGACACACATATGCAGCCGTGTGTCAAAATGTACATGTAAACGTGGATAATGTACCCCATCATACACATGCTCCTGCACACAGGCAACTACACACGCGCACACATCACCTACACGCATGCGCACAGTAAAACACACATGCTCCTGCACACATGCAACTAGACACAGTGACGCGATACCTACACGGACACACTGTCAGCGCGGAGTGAATACATTAGTGTGACCGGCGGCCGCGGATACTGCTCATCAATGGAACATTCACTGCAGTCAGCCCAGAAGCAGTTAACCCCTTCACTCCCTGACCCCACCGTCACCTACCTGGGCCTACCTGGCAAGCGAGAGGACGTGGGTTTGATTCCAAACATTTAGGCAAGTTTCCTTACTTCACACACACACCTGTGTTTACCCGACTGTAAGTGGAAACCCGGTTGTTAATCGATTGGCGGATCGCTTTCCAGGAGTAATTATCCCTTAAGAAAAAGAAATTTGGTGACTCACTTTGTATGCTGCTGTACGCAAATGGGGACGCAGCGAGAGAGATGGACTGTAGAGCGACAGGGAGGGTGAGAGCCTGAGGTTGTCAGGCCACATAATAATAATAATCTGAGCATTTGATGCAGCGCCTCATCACGTCTCCGAGACATCTCAAAGCGCTTCACGGAATATAGTGTAAAGTATAGTGACTGTATCTTGAGGGCGAAACGCGGCAGCCAATTGCGCACAGCAACGTCCCCACAAACAGTCGTGGATTGAATCACCAAATTTATTTTTCTTAAGAGATTATTACCCTCGAAAAGCGACCCATCAATCGACTAACAACCGGTTTCCACTTACAGCCGGGTAAACAGAATAATAATAATAATCTTTGCATTTGATATAGCGCTGTTCACGTCGGGAGGACGTCCCAAAGCCCTTCACAGAACACACTGTAAAGTGAATTGACTTTATATTTGTGGGCGAACGCGGCAGCCGATTGCGCACAGCAATGTCCCACAAACAGTCGTAGATTGAAAATGACCAATTTATTATTGTTTTTGGTTTTGGAGGGATTATTATTAGGCTCTGTGTGGAGTAAGGAAACTTGCCCAAAGTTTCACCCTCTGCCTGGAATTGAACTCAGGTCTCTCACTTGCAAAGCGAGTGCTCTAACCACTGAGCTACAGGACTCCGAGCGTGTGTGGAGTAAGGAAACTTGCCTAAATATTCGGAATGAAATCCGGGTCCTCTCGCTGAGCGTTACATTCCGGGACTCAAAAGAGTGTGCGAGCGAGCAGATGTGCAAGGGAGTGGGGGTGCGAGTGAGCGAGTTGTGGTGAGCGAGGCACTCACATGATACACCGATCCTCCAGCGCATCCTTGGGACGAGATGTTTAAACCATCGTCTGTCTGAATGCACCACTTCAAGCAGATGTTCAAAGATCCCCACGCGACGATTGGAAAGGAGACGGGAGTTCCTCCTGGTTTCCTGGCCCCTAATCCTCCTCCCGCCTGTGTAGTGACCTCTTGTATCTACAGACCCCCAGTCACTCCACCTGCCAGGAGTCGCTGTGACGGTACCTGAAATAATTCAGCGTTCAGGGCATTCTGTAAAAAACAAACAGATTGGCCCATTCGGAGGGTCTGTGATGGCCAGAGACTGGGAGGGCGGAGGGAAGGCTTGGACCTTAATTTGACGTCACTTGACCATGATCAGTGACTCTGCTTGTACTCAGCGCTCGCTCTGGCTCCAGGTCGGGGCTGGTGAGAGCCGCCACTCCTCCCGGTAACCGGCGCTAATCGTACCGAACCTCTTCACCACCACAAGACACCTCGCATGTCCTGTCCGCGGTGCTCGCCATCTCACGGGGGACAAGGCACGAGACTTGGTCCCAATGCTCGAGGGGTTGAGGTGTTGCCAGTTAACAGGGAACATAGGAACAAGGGAAGGTCATTCAGCCCTTTGAGCCTGTTCTGCCATTCTATTAGATCATGGCTGTGTAGCTCATTCCAACCTTTGTCAGAAGTTCTGACAGACAGACAGGGCAAGGTAGGAAGGCAGGGCAGGGCAGGGCAGGGCAACAACAACAACAACAAAATTACATTTGTATAGCGCCTTTCACGTCGGGAGGACAACCCAGTTGGGGAGGGCAGGCAGTAGTTAATGTAACAGTGACTGGAGTGTGCTGTGCCCCTTGGGCAGACCTGGTGTTGGGTTATTCAGTGCTGGGGCTCCTCACTCTGATTGATGCTCAGCTCAGAAATACATTGATTTTTTTGAGGAATCTCACAGCGCAGCACCATGCAAGTCAACCTGCCCCGAGCACCCCCCACACAGACACACGCAGCACCCCCCACACACAAAGCCAATCCCCCCACCCCACACAGCCCCCCCCCACACACAAAGCCCACCCTCCCCCCACACAAACACATACAGCACCCCCCCATACAAACAGACCCACACAGCACCCCCACACCACACGCCCCCTCCCACATACACAGCCCACCCCACACACATACCACCGCCCCCACACACACATACACACACAGCCCACTCACACAGCCCACCCCCATACAGCCCCCCCTTAATTAACAGTGAGATTTTCCCCTCAGGACCCGTGGGATCGAGATCTTCTGACAGAAACAGACTCACTTGATGGCAGTGATTCCAAGGTCACACAACGGGTTTGGGTGAAAAACGCCCTTCGGAATTTGTTGTTGTACCATTTTGTCTCATCCTTCCAGACCCCCCCCTCCCCGTCCGCCCATCCCAGCTCTGGCTGTAGTTCAATCTGATTGTCCAGCGATTAAACATTGATCAATGCTTCGCTCACAAATGCTTCACGTTCCATCTCTTGGCAATCAGTCGCGCTCTGAGGCAGAGGGTTGTGGGCTCCAACCCCACATTGGGGCTTGAGCTGACAGTCTGGCCTCAACCTCCAACACAGAGCTGGGGGGGGGGGGGGGGTGATGGGTGGTATTGCATTGTCAGAGGTGCTGTCCTTGGGATGAGACATTAAACCAAAATCCCGTCTGTGCCCTTTTCAGGTGGATGTTAAAGATCCCACAGGATTGTCGGAAAAGAGAAGGTAGTTTCTCTCCCCCACCCCCAGTGTTCTGGCCGGCAAACTCCCTCCCCCCCACCAGATAAACGCCATGGGCTGTTTGTAGGTTGTTGCTGTGGGTGTGCAAACTGCCCTGTGTGCAATTGGCTGCCGCTTTTGGTCCACAAAACACAACAGTCAATTCACTTTACAGTGTATCCTGTGAAGCGCTTTGAGACGTCTTGACGACATGATGAAGCGTTGTGTCAAATGCAGGAATTATTATTATTATTACAAACACAGTCACTCCACATGACTGAAATCCACGCTCGCGCAGGGTAGCCTGGGGGCGGGTGGAGGTGACCAAAGGCACGGACAAAGAGGAAAGTCTTTGAAGATGGGGAAGGATATTAGAGTTAGGAGAGAGAGTTGTTCTCTTGGTGAAATCTCCCCTCTCTCCCCTCCGTGTCTCCCCAGTGAACCTCTGCTTCAGTATGGAGGTCACTGTGCCGGCCACCATCATCAGGCTGAATGGCACCTCGGTCAAACTGAGCTGCACCTTCAACTCCTGTTATAAGGTGGACAACAAGCAGTTCACCTTAAACTGGACTTACCAGGAGTGCAGCAACTGCACAGAGGAGCTGGTAAGTTACCCTTCATCTCAGCTTGTGGTGAGTGTGTGTCAGCCCGGCTCAGTGTGTGTGTGTGTGTATATATATAGTGTGTCAGCCCGGCTCAGTGTGTGTGTGTGTATATATAGTGTGTCAGCCCGGCTCAGTGTGTGTGTGTGTATATATAGTGTGTCAGCCCGGCTCAGTGTGTGTGTGTGTATATATATAGTGTGTCAGCCCGGCTCAGTGTGTGTATCATCCTAGCTCTGTGTGTGTGTGTGTGCGTGTGTGAGCCCAGCTCAGTGTGTGTGTATGTCAGTCCAGCTCAGTGCATGGTGCGTGTGTGTGAGCCCAGCCCAGTGTGTGTAGGGAAGTCACCGCACTTTACAGTGTATCCTATGAAGTGTTTTGAGACATCTCGAAGATATCATACGGAGTTATATCAAACACAAGGCGTATTATTATTAAGATCTGCCTTTCGCTCCCCTGTGGCCTGCAGTTTGCCCTGTACAGGCGTAAGATCATTATCCTGAAGACGGAGCAGTTCTGGGACCGGGTGGAGTGGTCAGGGAACCCCAACAAGAACGACGCCTCCGTCACCATCCACGAGCTACAGCTCAGCGATGAGGGTTATTACAACTGCCACGTGCTGAACCCCCCTGACAGGCACAAAGGCCTGGGCACCATCTACCTTAGCGTGGTCACAGAAGGTACACACACACACACCCGCGTGCGCACACACGCACACGGCCCACCAACGGCAACAGCCACACCTGCTAAACTAGCCTTTACAATTAACAGTGCTCAGTGTAGTGGTTAGTTCGCTCGTCGATAGTCGGATCACTTTCCATGGGTAACAATCTCTCCAAAACATTCGGTCACTCCACCCACGACTGTTTGTGGGACACTCACTGCTGTGCGCAATTGACTGCCATGTTTCGCCCACAAAAACAGTCACTACACTTTACAGTACATTCTGTGAAGCGCTTTGAGACGTCTCAACGATATGATATGCCACTGCATCCAATAAGAACATAAGAAATTGCTGGCGAAAGACCAAGATCCATCGAGTTCACCTTCCACCATCCCAGTCGTTTGACATGTCGTGTCCCAAACTGTATACTGTCTCCCCAGATATTATTTTCTAACAGAAATCCATCTAATTTCTTCTTGAAAAGATTATTATTATAATTAAGTGATAAGGCACTATATCAGACAAGGATTATTATTATAATAATTATGATGATTATTATCATTAATAATAATTTCCCACCTCAGAGCCACCGAAACGTGACTCCACTGTGGCCGTGATTGTGGGCTCTTCCATCGGAGGCTCCATTGCGGCCCTGAGCCTGACGTTAGTGGCTGTCAAGTGCGTGAGGAGGAAAAAGAAGCAGGATCTTCAGTCTGAAGACCAGAAGATGGAAGAAGAAGGGAAGACCGAGGGTGAAGAGAACGAGGAGGAAGGCACGAAGTAAGGTTCCCTCCAGCCCAGGTCTGTTCCACAGCCCAGCACAATCCGCATCTTACCTTCCATACACTAACCCCAATCCCGACCTGTACACAAACTCTCCGGTAAAATAGTATTTTATCACAATTAAGTATTAATTAATGTCTTCGAGGCACATGATCTGTTTCCCGCAGCATAGTAACTGAGTAATTCAGCTTTGAACTTTAGTACAGGAGCTCTGTAGTTTAGTGGTTAGAGTGCTCGCCTCGCAAGCGAGAGACCTGGGTTCGATTCCAGGGTCAGGGTGAAACCTTGGGCAACTTTCCCTACTCCACACGCCTCTGTTTATCTTGCAGTAAGTAGGAACCTGGTTGTTTAGTCGATTGGTGGATCGCTTTCCGGGGGTAATAATCCCTTCGAAATAAAAAAAAGTGTTTACTCAATCCATGACTATTTGTGGGACGTTTGCTGTGTGAATTTGGCTGCCACGTTTTACCCACAAAATACAGAGTCACTACACTTTACAATATATCCTGTGACAATCTTTGTGACGTCTCAACGATATGATAAGGTGCTGTATCAAATGCACGGATTATTATTACTATAATTTCAGATCACGTGCCCTTTTTGACAGTGTTACTAATTTCTGCCTATTTTGAGATAGAGGTTAATGTTTAGGATTCTTTTTCATTTTTTCCCCCCCCTCTCCCTCTCTGCAGGCAGCAGTGACTCCCGGGATGAGCCACCGACTGAGAACGTAAAAGTTTAAACCGTTTCCTGCCACAAAGTTACGGATCTGTGTATCTCCCTGCGAGTTCAGCTTCACTCTGCCTGCACCACCTGCTCTGCTTTGCTCCAGACACTGAACGCTGTATTGCTCTGAGTTTTCCCTTTCGTCGCTCCCTCCCTGCCTACGCGCCGCATCCCATCAGAAATGCGACGCTCCCCCACCCCCCCCACACACACACGCACGCAGTGTGTCACTGTCACCCACCCCCGCAGTACATACTGCACTGGCCAGTGTCATTAGTTGATTTGATTATAATTAGGAATGCTGCAGTGCATGCTTTGCTTTGGCTCGTCAGGGGTGTGGTGGCAGCCCAGTCATTACTGTGAAGTGGTCACTGCATGGTGGTTGTCATTGCATTTGCTGCAAGTCAAGTTTTGTTTCTTGTCCTAACAATTGCCTCAGACCATCTGCTCGGAAGGTGTGGGGGTCTCTCTCTCTCTCTCCAATCTCCAATCACAGGCCAGTGTTCCCTAGGGACTCCCGAGATCCACACTCCTTTTTTCCTGAGAGCTCACACCATGGAATTCTCAACACGGGTTGGGGGGGACCATTGGGAGGGTGAGTGGGGAGAATTGGGGGGCAGGGGTAAACAACTGGATTGGAAGTTGTGTCTCTCTGGTCCTGAGTGTGGGGACCATTCTCTTCGAGTCTTAACTGAACACGAACCTTGCAGACTAAGTTCTTGTAGGGACCACCCACAAACGAGAGGCTTTTCTCTTTTAACGTCACTGTCAATTTGTGCCAATTTGTGTGGGTAATGTTTTGTGCTGTGGACTATGTGACCTGATTGATTAGCAGCTGGACTGAGAATGACCCACGGCCAAGAAGTGGTTTGGCCCACAACGAAGTCCTTTCTCGCCGTGTCTGAGTTGGATTGGTGAGAGCCTGGGTCCCAGGGCAGAGAGGATTAGCTCACGTCCTCACCTCACCGCGGTGGGTGGGTCGCACTTGCCAGCCTTGGGCACTCACATTGAGACCGGACCACCACGTCAGGGAGGACCTGCACCTCACAGCTCAACAGACTCTGAGTGGGAGGGTGGGTGAGGGGAGAGAGATATCATCCTGTGATGTGATAATTAACACATCTTTCCAAGTTCAACCTTGCTGATGATTAATGACAGATATGGATCTGACTCCACCTCCTGCAAACCCCCCCCCTTCTAACCACCCTCCACACATTGCCTCACAATGGTTAAGCCAAAGCCACTTTGTGAAGACATATCTCAGCACTCAATTCAATACCAATAGATCGTCTTCAGGCCCAACCAACACGCACTTGGCTCGCATCAGCTCCACACTGTGCTGGGGGGGGAAATGGGGAGTGGGGAGGGGAAGGGAACACACACAAGCCCAGAAGGTATGTGTAAACGCAGCCAATCAGAGCCCAGCTCTGGGCACACAGCACCTACCTGTATAAGGACAAGTTCCCTCGGTGTGACTCCCCAGGTCATGTCTCTGAGAGGTCAGCGCCGAACACTGAGAGAAGTAAAGAATCAAAGATTTTAATGAAGAAAACGAGAAGAAGCTTTAAGTAAAAAAAACAAAAATCAACTTTTTATAACTTTTTTCACCTTGGTTTTGCCTTTGGGGGAGGAGGAGGAGGCTTCGTTTGATAAGTGGGTTTAACATGAAGGAACCGTCAAGTTAAATGCAGAATTGTTGGTTATATAATAAAATAAATGTGATTGAAGCAAAGGTTTGTTGTGTACTGCTAACGTGAGTTTGACTTGGTTACTAATGGTAATGGGTGGCAACTGGCGACCCGCAGGCCACATCTGGCCCCTGGGCCAATTTCATCCACCCACCCCCTCTCCCTCCTCTCCCTCACCCTCCTCATCCCTCCATTTCATCTGGCCCACCCGCTCCCTCCAGAACCCGTAATGTTATGTTACTAGAAAGGAAACCACATCAATATTGCTTATGCGGTCCACAGACATTTCTCAAATAGGGCATCCAGCCGTCAACAGCCAACCGTGCTGACTTGCAAGGGGAGTAGTCAGCCTAATGCCACCAACCAGATCATCTCTCCCTCTACTCAGTCTTTCACAGTCCTTCCCTCCCTCTACCACTCCTCAGCCTCCGAGAAAAGAGTGTGCGCGACCGAGCCAGGCTGACATCAAAATAATAATAATAGTATAAGAATAATCCTAGCATTCGATACAGCGCCTGATCACGTCATTGAGAATTCTCAAAGCACTTCACAAAATACACTGTATTCTGTAGTGGAGTGACTGTATTTTGTGGGCAAAATGCAGCAGCCAATTGCGCACAGCAGTGTTCCACAAACAGTCGTAGATTGACAGACCAAATTACTTTATCCTTCAGTGCTGTTGTGAGCAGCTCTGTAACCAGTCCTCTTCTGACCCGAGTCTCGCATCTCATTTATTTATGATCTAAACCAACGTTAAAGTGCCACAAAAGCTAAAATCACATCAACACAAATAAAGAGCAACTGAGCACCGGACACACATCCCCTTGCTTTGATTGCAGCCTATAGCCTGGGGGGGGGGGGGGGTAGTGTTACCCTAAACGTGGCATCCCATAGCGTAATGGGTAGCTCTTGGCTTGCAAGCGAGAGGACCCGGTTCAATTCCCGGGCAGGTCAGGGCGAAACCGTGCCAAGTTTCCTTATTCCATACACACACCTCTGTTTACCAGCAATAAGTAGGAACCCGGTTGTTAGACAATTGGCAGATCGCTTTCGGGGAGTAATAATCCCTTCAAAAATGTAATGACAATAATTTGATCACTCAATCCATGGGACACTGCTGTGCGGAATTGGCTGTCGCGTTTGGCCCACAAAATACAGTCAATTCACTTTACAGTATATCCTGTGAAGCGCTTTTGAGACGTCTCAAAGACGTGATAAGACGCTGTATCAAATGCCAGGATTATTGTTATATATAACCCCCCCAACCCCACGGTTAGACTCCAGCCTGTAACTCACTCCTGGGGGAGCTTTACTTTATATACACACCCAGGCAGAGAGCAGCGGGAGTAGAGCGTGGATGGTTCTGTACAACACAAGTGATGTGTTTAACCCAGTAATGCCTGACCTCGGCAGTGTGGATGGGGTGGGTGGGGGGCGATGGAGAAGAAAGAGTTAAATCCTCAAGGTTGACATTGGTCCTGCTCTCAATGTCCTTGTCAAAGGTGTAAGGGGAATTATCTGTGTGTGTGTGGGGGGTGGGGGTGGGGGGTGGGGGCTGAGTGTAAATACTGGGGGAGAGGAGAGGGAGTAATTAAATCAGTCAGATCCTAACTTTAATTAATTAAAAAAAATAATTTTAGAAGCTTTAGTTAAACTCTTTGTCTGTTTCTGTGAAAGACACTACACAAATGTGATCTTCTTGTTGTTTCTCTGCACAATGGGACACTCCCTCCCTCATTTATTCACACTCACTCACACTCCCTCCCTCAAACACTCCGCTTTACACACTCCCTCCCTCCCAGACACTCTTCCTCCTCCTCTCTCACATTCCCTCATTCCTCACTCCCCCCCTCAAACACTCCCCTTGTACACTCCCTCACCCTCTAACTCTGACACCCACTCACTCCCCCACTCCCCACTCCCCCACTCCCCACTCCCCACTCACCTGGGACAGAGGGAACACTCCACCCTTTGTATCCGACATTCCCGGGGAGTTTTCATGCCGAGATGCGGGGCTGCCCATCCCAACCGGGGGGGGGGGGGCGGGGGGTCCCAACCGGGGGGCGGTGGGTCCCAACCGGGGGGCGGGGGGGTCCCAACCGGGGGCCGGGGGGCGGGGGGTCCCAGCAGGTGCTTTGCGGGTGCGGTGCTGTTTGTCTGCGGGAAGTTTGCAGAGATTTCTCCCCGCAATCAGTCAGTCAATAATGAGCATCTCAGTGTCTCTCTCTCTCTCTGTCTCTCTCTCTGTATCTCTCTCTGTCTCTCTCTCTCTGTGTCTCTCTCTCTCTCTCTGTGTATCTCTCTCTCTCTCTCTGTATATCTCTCTCTGTATTTCTCTCTGTCTCTCTCTCTATGTGTGTCTCTCTCTCTCTCTTGTATCTCTTTCTGTCTCTCTGTCTCTCTGTGTATCTCTCTCTCTCTCTCTCTCTGTATCTCTCTCTGTCTCTCTCTCTGTATTTCTCTCTGTCTCTCTCTCTCTGTGTCTCTCTCTCTCTCTGTATCTCTCTCTGTATTTCTCTCTCTCTCTCTCTCTCTCTGTGTCTCTCTCTCTCTCTCTCTCTCTCTCTGTGTATCTCTCTCTCTCTCTCTGTATATCTCTCTCTGTATTTCTCTCTGTCTCTCTCTCTATGTGTGTCTCTCTCTCTCTCTTGTATCTCTTTCTGTCTCTCTGTCTCTCTCTCTGTGTATCTCTCCCTCTCTCTCTGTGTATCTCTCTCTCTCTGTCTCTCTGTGTGTGTATCTCTCTCTCTCTCTCTCTCTGTGTGTCTCTCTCTCTCTCTTGTATCTCTTTCTGTCTCTCTGTCTCTCTCTCTGTGTATCTCTCTCTCTCTCTCTGTGTATCTCTCTCTCTCTCTCTCTGTGTATCTCTCTCTGTGTATCTCTCTCTCTCTGTCTCTCTGTGTGTATCTCTCTCTGTCTCTCTCTCTCTCTCTCTGTGTGTCTCCCTCTCGCACTCTTGTGTTTCTGTGTCTCTCTGTGTCTATGAGTGTCTGTGTCTCTCTCTCTGGGCTCAGGCACTGTTTGCTCCGCTATTAAAGGAACCCTTCACTCTATCTCTCGGGGGGGGGGGGGGGGGGGGAGCGGCTCCTTTAAAAGCACTGCGATTCCCGGCCACGTTGTGTGTGTCCTTCAGCCCAATATTAGGTCATTGAAGCCGCAGCAAACAAGGCTGAGCCAATGCAGACTCGCTCACTGGTGCCTCTCCCTCCTCTTCACTCTCTCCCTCCTCTTCACTCTCTCCCTCCTCTTCACTCTCTCCCTCTCTCCCCACCTCCTTCTCCCTTTATCTCTCTCCCTCCTTCCCTCCTTCCCACCCCCTTCTGCCTCCCTCCTCTATCCTTATATCTCTCCTCTCTCTCTCTCCCTTTCTCACATTCCCAATGCTGTGACCGCTGATTCCATCTGTCCCTAAAGCCGAATTGTCCCTAAAGGCTCTCTCTCTCTCTCTCTGTCTCTCTCAGGTCTGGCCCGGAGCCAACCGGGTTAGCGATGTGGTTGCAGGATGTTCATTCAGACACAGACACTGGGCTATGGTCCTTTACACTCACCACAATTCCCCTCTACAACACCTCACTGAGCCCCTCACCATCCCAACTGTTACTTCCCCTCCTTTTAAAGAAATGGTTAGAGCACTCCCTGGTAAGCAGTGGGTTTGATTCCCGGACGGGGTGAAACGTTGGGCAAGTTTCCTTACTCCACACACCTCTGTTTACCAGCAATAAGTAGGGACCCAAGTTGTTAGTTGATTGGTGGATTGCTTTCCGGTGGTAATGATCCCTCCATAAATAAATAAATTTAGTCACTCAATCCCGGACTGTCTCTGGGACACTGCTGCGATCAATTGGCTGCCGTGTTTCGTCCACAAATACACAGTCACTCCACTTTACAGTATATCCCATGAAGCACTTTGAGACATCCTGCAGCTGAATGTGGACAAGATGGAAGCCATACTCCAAGCCATACCCTCAACTCCAGGGCCACTGCTGTCCTGACAGACTGTCTGTCGGACATCAAGTCCTGGATGAGCGCAAATTTCCTACAGTTGAATGTGATTAAGACTGAGGCCCTCCTGATTGGCTCACACCAGCGCCTCCGCACCTCAGGCTCCGGCAACACCACCCTCCATGGTTGGACACTACAACTCACCGCCAGTCAGGAACCGAGGTGTCTTGTTCGACCCTCAACTGTATTTCCTTCCGCACATTCACATCTATCCTTCAGAGGATCCAGTTCAAGATCCTGGTCCTCACATACAAAGCCCTCCCTGGCCTCGCCCCACCCTACTTCTGCGACCTCCTTACCCCCTACCAACCCGCCCGTTCCCTCCGCTCAGCCGGCTCTGGCTGCTCCACATCCCCCGACCCACCTGCCCCACTATTGGCGGGAGAGCATTCAGCCACTCTGATCCCAACTTCTGGAATTCCATCCCCCAGTCACTCTGCCTCGCCCCCTCCTTAGCCTTCTTCAAGTCCCGCCTCGAGACCCTTCTCTTCGACCATGCCATCAGCCACCCCCCTTCCCCTCCTCCCCCTGACCCCAACTTGGGTCTGAAATGCTGTCACTGTCCAGTGCCTTGGGACGTCCTCCTGACGCGAAAGGCGCTATACACATAGCGCCATCCTCCATGGCCTCTCTCCCCCCTATCTAATCTTGTTGAGGTTGTTGTTGTTTACGGCCACCTCCCCCTCCCCAGCTTGTTGTTATTTTCTCAACGACCTGATAGGGCCCTATTATCAAATGCAAGATTTATTATTATTAATAAATGCTTCCAAGTGGCTGTCCTGAAATCATCCCTTACCCACAGTACCACTCCCCCCCACCCAGCCTCTATGGTAGCAGGCGACAGGACGGGGTGGAGGGGTTACAATGAAGGAGGTTTGTCAGACGGCAGAGCGGGAGGGTGTGAGATGGAGAGAGAGCGCAGAAATGATGAAGTAAGAGTTAGAAGGCAATCACAGACAGCGCTGATAATGTACGCAGCCTAATGGTTTATTGATGGGTTAGTGTAATTGACTCTGTTTGCCTGGCGCCTGCGTTCAAGCACCTTCCATTTGCTGCAGTTGCCACTCGCTTAGAGAGTCAGATAATTGCTTGTTTGTCTGTGAGCAATATCTGTGCGCTCCCTCCCGGTGACATCATCCGGTACATGGGGTCAACTTAATGACACCCAACTCTCCCTCTCTGCCTCCACCCTTGACTCCAGGATCCGTTGCTGTCCTGACAGAATGTCTGTCAGACATCAAGTCCTGGATGAGAGCGAACTTTCTACAGTTGAACCTTGGGGTCTTGGGGCTTGACCCTCAACTATCTTTTCTACCCCACATCTGCACCATGACCCGCTCTGCCTTCCCCACCTCTGCAACGTTGCCCGGCTCTGCCACTGTCTCATGCCACAGGCGCCCGAGACCCTCATACATGCCGTCATTACATTGAGGATCGACTATACAAACTCACTGCTTGTTGGCCCCCCCAGCTCCTCCCTCCGCAGGCTGCAGATCATCCAGAACTCTGCAGCCCATGTCCTCTCCTGCACCAGGCTCTGTGACCCTATCACCCGCATCCTCGCCCGACTCCACTGGCTTCCCATCACACAGAGGATAAAGTTCACGATCCTGGTCCTCACCTTCAAAGTCCTCCATGGCCTCTCTCCCCCTTATCTAAACCCCTACCAACCTGCCCGCTCCCTCTGCTCTGCGGGCTCCAGCCTGCTTCACGTCCCCCGCCTCGCACGCTCCATCATCAACGGTTGGGCCTTCAGCCACTTTGGTATTATTGTTGGGAGTTTCTCTCTCTCTCTCTCTCTCTGTTTCCTGGCCAACAAAGCAAATTAGCCATTCACTTCTTCACGGCTGTTTGCAGGACATCGCCGAGCTGTGCGCAAATTCTCTGCTGCACTCGCCCACAAATACACAGTCTCTACAGCAAACTGTGTGAAACACTTTGAGATGTTTTGATGTGATATCATGTGATATCGAAAAAAAGGGATAATTATTTTCTCTTAAACTTCATCACAGAGATGGTAAGTTGCTGTGGAGTCCAGCACAGAGGAGGTGAGGAAAGTGAAGGGGAAGAGAATAAGACAGAGGCTTAGGTCTTGTGGCATCTCCCCTCCCTCCCCTCCCTCCCCTCCCCACCCTGCAAAAGGTATCTGGATAACACTGGCACAAAATCAGAAAGTATCAGAGTTTACCAAAGGGCCTGGAGATGGAAAGAGAAGACCATCATCACACAGTTAAATCTTTCACACAACTCTGATCTCAAAGTGGATAAAACACCACTTTCCCTGGTTATCTCCCGCGTTTCTCCGCGTTCATGCTCACGGACACACAAGGACACATTCATACTCACACACACACACAAGGACACTCACACACACACAAGGACACACACACAAGGACACACTCATATGCACACGAGCACACACACACAAGGTCACACACACACAAGGACACACACACACACACACACACACACATAAGGACACACTCACACACACATCAACAACAACAAGATTACACTTGTACAGCACCTTTCACGTCGGGAGGACGTCCCAAGGCACTGGACAGTGACAGCATTTCAGACCCGAGCTGGGGTCGGGGGGGGTGGGGGGGGGAAGGGAGGGGAGGGGAAGGGGGGTGGCCGATGGCACGGTCGAAGAGGAGGGTCTCGAGGCGGGACTTGAAGGAGGCTAAGGAGGGGGCGAGGCAGAGTGACTGGGGGATGGAATTCCAGAGGTTGGGGGCAGAGTGGCTGAAGACTCTCCCACCAATGGTGGGGCGGGTGGGGCGGGGGCGTGGAGCAGCCAGAGCCGGCTGAGCGGAGGGACCGGGCAGGTTGGAAGGGGGTTAGGAGGTCGCAGAGGTAGTGTGGGGAGAGGCCATGGAGGGTTTGTATGTGAGAACCAGGATCTTGAACTGGATCCTCTGAAGGATAAGGAGCCAATGGAGTCGGGAGAGAGTGGGGGAGATGGGGTCACGGAGTTTGATGGGAAAGGACACGGGCTGCAGAGTTCTGGATTATCTGCAGCTGTGGAGGGAGGAGTTGGGAAGGCCGACATGCAGGGCATTTGCATAGTTGAGCCTGGAGGTGATGAAGGCATGAACAAGAGTTTCAGTGGCCTGAGGGGTGAGGTAGTGGCGGAGTCGGGCCATGTTACGGAGGTGAGGGAAGGCCGAGCGGGTCATGGCTTGGACCCTCGGATTTACAAGGTTTGCACATGGTCTACACCGTGTGCACAGGCTGTGATTCCAGGTACAATAACACAATCACGTTAACACGTGGTTTTACACATTGAGCACGGTCTACAACAACAACAACTTATATTTGCATAGCGCCTTTCACATCAGGAGGACGTCCGAAGGTGCTGGATAACCACACTTACACTTACCACAGCTTGATTGCTCTAACCTGCCTGTGCCTTTCTCCTTCCGACCTCCCCTCCCCCATCTCACCCCCCTCCCCCCCACAGTTGGTTACCATCAAGCTGAAAGAACTGAAACTGCGTTCAATAGACATAGAGCAGGAAGATCGGATCAAGTTTGTGGGCGACATCGACAAGAACAACATCTCGTTGCTTCTGGACCAGGTGGATTTCGAGGATTCGGGTTTGTACACCTGCTCTTTCAAGAACCCCAACGAGAGAAACCAGATTGTGAATGCCACCATCAAGCTGATCATCGTGAGCGAGTGTAAGTCGGGGCCTCCGACACAGGAATTAGCGCCTCATTACATGGGACATTGCACGTGCCAAAATTGGCTGTCGTGCTTGACTTCAGCTATCCAGTCACTACACTGACAGACCGTTCCCGCTTGTTGTTAGGGGGGGGAATTCCATAACCAGGCAACACAGTATAATATGAACCACTACTTGCATTTCTATGGATTACATGGAAAGCACTTCCTGAAGCAGATTCCATATTAGCTTTTAAAAGAGAATTGGATACAAACTCACAAAGGAAAAATGTGCAGGGCTATGGGCTAAAAGCAGGGGAATGGGACTAGTTAGGGTAAGAGCGGGGGAGTGGGGACTAATTGGGGTAAGAGCGGGGGAGTGGGGACCAGTTGGGGTAAGAGCGGGGGAATGGGACTAGTTGGGGTAAGAGCGGGGGAGTGGCGACTAGTTGGGGTAAGAGCGGGGGAGTGGGGACTAGTTGGGGTAAGAGCGGGGGAGTGGGACTAGTTGGGAGATCTTTTCAAAGAGCCGTCGCAGACCTGATGGGCCGAATGGCCTCCTTTGGTGCTGTAAAGTTCCATGATTCTATGATATAGTGCCCTCATGCAGGATAGCGTCCCAGAGTGCTATAAGATAGCAATGGGGTGGGGTGATCTAAGAGATCATTTTATGAGGAACTATTCCATGCAGAGGGGAGCGAGATGGTGGAACTCACTGCTTGAAGCAGTGGTGGAATCAGATAGTGTAGATGTATTCAAGAGATAGCGAGACCTTCACGTGAGAGGGATGGGAATAGAAGAGTGTGGGAGGGGAGTGTGGGTGGGGGGGCTTGTGTGGAGTATAAACAGCGGCAAGGACTGCTTGGGTCGAGTGGCTTGTTTCCGTGTCTGTGTTAGTTTGAGATATTCACAAACGGTTCATCCCAGCAAAATAGATAAATTCCCCCTTAATTTACTTTTTTAATTCCTTATATTTTCCGTTTGGGGTTGGGGTTGATTTTTGTTGCTGTGTTTAACCAGGTTAACACTCGTGGTTGTATGATCTCTCCTTGTGTTTAATGTCCATCAATAAATGTTTAATTTTGTTTTGTGTCAAAATTCTGTGTGACTGGCCACTATGTCGTGGGGCTTCAATGGAGGGGGTGGTGCGGGTTCCAATCTCGCCCCGTTATCTTCTCTATTTTTACCCACGTAGCCACAACTAGTTAATCCACTCACCTAGTTTCCTGGGCACAACTGTAGCACTGAATCCTTCTATTTGACTTGAACCCATCCCTTCTTGCTTATTTGAGATTCTTGACTAAGAAAAGGTGTACACAGTCTCTTCCCATTGTAAACTCCCATCTCTTCAGGATGTTTCAACAACCCGAGTCACAGCAGCAATATGTCAACCTCGTCCCCTTCCTTCCAAAGGGCTTTCACGATTGATGCCAAACAACAGATGATACCCCAATACAGTGCTGGTAAAGTTTGGATAAGGCACCTGTCTCTTCAGGTAGATATTAAAGATCCATTGGCACTATTCAAGGGAAGGGAGTTTCTCCTGGTTTCCTGTCCAACAATCTCTCAAATAATATTGGTCATTTACTTCAGGCTGTTGTGGGACTTTGCTGTGCCTAAATTGGCTACCTTGTTTGCCTACAGGTACACAGTCACTACATTTCACAGTAAATCCTGACTTGATAACTTGCTATACCAAATGAAAGGATTATTTTATTGTCGGCTCCTTCTCAAGCCACCCTTGTTGTCATTTCTGTTGTCAAATTTATGTTACTTAAATTAAAAATCCTTGTTCTCACCTTTAAATCCCTCTGTGGTCTTGCCCCCACCTTACCTCTGCAACCCCAACCATACGAGTCAGACCTTTCGTTCAATGAACACTGACCTGCTTCACTTGCTCACCCTATTGTCCACCTCATCCCCTTCCTTTTGAAGGGCTTTCATGTTCGATGCTGAACAACAGATGACTCGAAACGTAGAGTATTAGAATCAAGGTTTTATTACCAATGGTATAGGTAATCAAACTACAAATTGTAAGGGTTGTGTCAGGATTTTGACTTCTGCTCCTACATTTTCAGACTGTTCTGCTCCACTCAACCCCTCTCTGCTTCCTTCAGCTCCTACATCTCCCATCGATTACCGGCAAAAACTCTTCCTTATATCCCCAACCTATCCTAAACTTGTTTTCTACAGAACCCTGAGAACCTCACAGGCACCACGTTATCAATGTCAGCTTTTTGCAAAGGACCTGTTTATCTTTCTCCTTGAGCTTCCATGACTAAGTCTCTCTACTCTGCCTTTCATACAGTCCTCTGGGTGCCTTGTATGAATGGTTTGGTCAACAAACATTGCCTTTCTTCTGTGTCTATTGTGGTTAACTGTTGCACTGCCGGTACACCTGACATACCTGAGAGCGGAGGTTGAGATCCTTGGGAATAAGGTTATATGGGAGTGAGGAGAAATAATAATAATAATAATACTCGCATTTTGATATAGGGATCAGCCATCACAAGATGTGAGTGACTGGCAAGGAAAATTCAATGTAAAAGTAAGGAGTACAGCCCAAGAGCAAGAGCTGACTAACCTCAGTACCATGGGATGCAAAAGGAAATCATAGCAGGACTTCAAAGCATTTGGAGTAGTGATTTGCAGCATCATTTTGTCGTGACTTCCAGAGATAGAAATGCAGCAAATCACAAGGCTACAATAGAATGAGTGAATGAATGAGCAATTTCTATCTGAGGGGTTGCATCAGAAATGCCACAGATCTTTAACATCGTCTTGATCTGGCACATGAGGACCTTGGGTTAACCTCTCACACTTTATTGATTGGGCGTGTTCCAAACCAGTCAACAAGTGTGGAAGCAAAACACCCTTCTGCACCTAGACATGGAGCCAAATTGTCTTTTGTATTTATTTGAGGTTTGAGGGTGTTTGTGGGTAGGTTTGTCACCAGATTAACTGCACACCTTCCAACTCAGAAATTAAGCAACAACAACAACAACAAGATTGCATTTATAGAGCGCCTTTCACGTTGGGAGGACATCCCAAGGCGCTGGACAGTTGGGTCGGGACCCGAGCAGGGGGGAAATGGTCAGGGTGAGGGAAGGGAAGGGAGGAAGCGAGGAGGGGGTAGAGAGTCGAGAGGGGAGCCGAAGGCATGATTGAAGAGAAAGGCCTTGAGACCGGCCTTGAAGGAGGAAAGGGAGGAAGCAGCGAAGGCACTAGGGGATGGAGTTCCAGAGCCTCGGGGCTGAGAGGCTGAAAGCCCGGCCACCGATAGTAGGGCGGTTGGGGTGGGAGATGTGGAGCAGACCGGAGACAGAGGAACGGAGGGTACGGGCGGGTAGGTAGGGGGATAGTAGGTCGGAGAGGTAGGAGGGATCGAGGCCGTGAATGGCCTTGTAGGTGAGGATGAGGATCTTGAATTCGATCCTCTGGGGGATGGGGAGCAGTGGAGGCGAGCGAGGGCGAGGGTGAGGGCGAGGGTGAGGGTGAGGGCGAGGGTGGGAGTGATGTGGTCCCGAAGCCTGGTGCGGGACAGTACACGAGTTGCAGAGTTCTGAATGACCTGCAGTGTGGAGGGAGGGCCGGTAAGGCCGGCGAGGAGAGAGTTCCCATAGTCCAGCCTTGAGGTGATAAAGGCAGTGAAAAGCAGGTCTGCAGTTGCACTAGAATCAACTGCAATTTAACAGGGAAAAATTCTATTTGTTTATTCAATCCAGTGCTACCACAGTAATGGTACTCAATAAATCAGTCTTGTCTTCCTAGTCTTGTACCCACCCTCCAATCGGGTTTCCGTGCTGCCCACAGCATGGAAACTGCTCTGGTCAATGTCACAAATGATATCCTAACCATGTGTGACCAGGGCTCCCTCTGCGTCCTCGTCCTCTTCAACCTCTCCGCTGCTTTTCGCACTATGGACCATTCAATCCTCCTCCACCGCCTCTTCTCCCACCACAACCTCCAAGTTCTGTCCTTGACTGGTTCAGGTCCTACCTTTCACACCATCTCCACTTCATCCCTGCAAACGGCTTCTCCTCCAGCCTCCGCACCGTCTCGTGCAGTGTTCCTCAGGGCTCTGTCCTCGGTCCCCACCTCTTCACCCTCTACATGCTCCCCCTTGGTGAAATCCTCCGCAGATATGGGGTAAATTTCCACATGTATGCGGATGACACCCAACTCTACCTCTCTGCCTCCACCCTCAACTCCAGGACTACTGGCGTCCTGACCGACTGCCCGTCCGACATCAAGTCCTGGACGAGGGACAACTTTCTCCGCACCTCAGGCTCGGCACATCACCTCCATGGTTGGACACTACAACTCACCGCCAGTCAGGAACCTGGGGGTCTTGTTCGACCCTCAACTGTCTTTTCTCCCCCACATCCAAGCCATGACCCGCTCGGCCTTCCCTCACCTCCGTAACATGGCCCGACTCCGCCACTACCTCACCCCTCAGGCCACTGAAACTCTTGTTCATCCCATTCACCTCCAGGCTCACTATGAAATGCCCTGCATGTCGGCCTTCCCAACTCCTCCCTCCACAGCTGCAGATAATCCAGAACTCTGCCACGCCCGTGTCCTTTCCCATCAAACTCCGTGACCCCATCTCCCCCACTCTCTCCCGACTCCATTGGCTCCTTATCCTTCAGAGGATCCAGTTCAAGATCCTGGTTCTCACATACAAACCCTCCATGGCCTCTCCCCACACTACCTCTGCGACCTCCTAACCCCTTCCAACCTGCCCGGTCCCTCCCTCAGCCGGCTCTGGCTGCTCCACGCCCCCGCCCCACCCGCCCCACCATTGGTGGGAGAGTCTTCAGCCACTCTGCCCCCACCTCTGGAATTCCATCCCCCAGTCACTCTCGCCTCGCCCTCCTTAGCCTCCTTCAAGTCCCGCTCAGACCCTCCTCTTCGACCGTGCCTTCGCCACCCCCCTTCCCTCCCCTCCTTCCCCCCCACACCCCCCCCCCCAGCTCGGGCCGAACCTGTCATGTCCAGGCCTTGGACGTCTCCC